TGGCGCAGGCGCGGAGCGAGGCGGCCACGCTGCGGAAAAGCCCCGCCCGCGTCTGAGGATCTGCTACTGCGGTCGGCTGCGGGCCACGGCGGGCCGTGCAGGGCGGGGCGGACCCCGGCCGGGCCTCCAGGCCCACCGTGCGGCGGGGATGGAGGACCAGGAGGCCGGGGAGGAGGCCCGGGCCGGGGACGGGGCTTGACCCAGGGACAAAGATCCCTTCTGAAAGTAGGAGGCGGCGGAAGCGGGGAACTGCGCGACTGTGTTTGCGACTTCCAGAGAGACTATGATGGTCTCGAAATTAAAAGTTAAAGAAGTAGGCGAAGGTTAGGTTTGGTAGAAGTTACACCTGGCCCGTGAGGCCGGGTCCCAGAGGGCCGTCCACGTGTGGGTTGCGGCTCGTGCGTTCAGAGGGCGCTTCCGGCCGTTCCCTTGTGGGAGGCAGGTGACAGCAGGGTTTCAGGGGGACTTTCTGAGAGGATGCAGCAGGGAAAAGACGCGCTTGCTGCGTGCGGGGCTGTAGCCGTGAGCCCGAGGGACCCTGAGCCCTTGAGGTGCGGCTGCTCCAAGTCCAGGTAAGACGTGGGTGCAAAGTACACCTGGGGTCTCCGAGACTCAGTATGAGAAAGAATGCGAAGCGCTTCATTGATAATTTTATATTGATGGCGTGTTAAAGTGATAATATTTTTGATATGTTGGGTTAAATAGGTGGTACTAAGATTTTTACCTTTTTTCACATTAAATATATTTATTCATATCTCCACCGTTATAAATGTATATTTGTGGACTATCCAAAGGTAATTATTTCAGTACTCCTCAGGCTCCTGAACATTTTTAAGTGATCCAAGCAACTCTTATGAAGATCAGATTCTCAGAATCCTCAGCAAGGATATCCTTGAAGTCACCTCTGTGCTCCTGGATGGTATGCAGCTAGCAGGTGCCTGTACTTCAAGGACCCATTTTTCACCTGCAAGGTTGGCGATACTCATTCAATTTCCACCAAGTTCTGCACCTGTACACAGTTGTGATACTTTCCACCTTAAATGGCAGTTGGCTTCTACACTGAGTTACTTTACTGTACGCTGGGGCAGGGCAGGTATAAAGGCAGATACACGGTGGGGCCCTTCCCGCTTACACACAAAAAAATCGCTTATATTGCAAACTCCCTGGCATGTATACACGACGATCAATGAACATAAATCCACCTAAACTAATCTCCGCATTTCCAGGCAGGAGAACGCAGGCCGAAGGCCACCTCGGGCCCTCCTGAGGTCCCTAGGAGAATGAGGCCGAGGCTAGGCCGCTGTCCTCCACGCATTCATGGACTGGAACCCTCAGACCTGGCCCGGCTGTTGCTGGTGCCTCATCAGGCTCAGGGCACTTGCCCTCCCCTGCCTGGCCTCCCGGGTGGGAGGGCACATGGCCATGAGGCCCAGCCACCTGCCAGCCCCAAGCCCGAAGCACAGCGCATCACCACCACAGCATGGGAGGCAGGAAAGCTACCCTTTTTTTTTTTTTGAGACCGGCCGCACCACGCTCAGCCAGTGAGCGTACCGGCCATCCCTATATAGGATCCGGCGCCGCACTCTCCCCAGTGCGCCACGGGCTCGGCCCAAAGCTACCCTTTTTTAATGTGGTGACCATAAAACTTGAAATTACTTGTGTGGCTCACATTTTATTTTTCTAGGACAGTGCTGATCTATACTGCGTTTAATATAAGAATAAGATGATGTACTTATTCTATCAAATTCAGAAGCTACATTGGTAAAATAACATAAGTGTTACAATGCTATAACAGTAATTTCAACTTCTGATATCTGAAATCATAAAAGTAATATACATTTATGCGTGTATTTTTATTTATTAATTCAAATGTTATGCAAGTTGTCTTTATTGATAATATTTTAAACAAGTTTCTTAGCCACAAAGAAGTCTTTAAGGTACTTCATTTGGAAAATTCCAACTGAGGTAAAGATTAATGTTTGTGCAACAGCCCACCATAAAACACTGCTGTTTGTATCTTCACTGGTCATTCGAAAATTTTCTTCACGGTCCTAAGTGGAAGAGAAATAGACAGGTTTAGTTTGCACACATTTAGTACACATGATTTTGAGGGGAAAGTTGCTGTGTGCATTCAAGATTTAATATTACCCAATTAATATCTTAAGCCAAAGTGCAGTATCTGATTTTCTAGGCCAGAGTCTGTTGTTTAGCCAAGTATAGAGAGTAAAAACCAACCTTATAAAACACATCTTTGTATTTTGGTGTAAAATACCAGGAACTTGATCTATAACTTTATACGTTTTATTTGCTACCATAAGGCAAAGTGAACATTACTCAATAGTGATAGATTTTCATCATTTGAGTCTTCATGCTGAGCACTATGTGAGGCACTTGCATGCCTTATCTAATTATCACACCCATCCTTATTTTTCAGACAAGGAAACTGAGGCTTAGAGGTAACACAAGGTGAGTGAGTGGTAGAGATATGAGCCCAAGTCTAGTCAGTGTCCATTGAGCACAATGACTCAGAAAACAAATAAGGTCATAAAAACAAAATTGTGGTTTAGAAAGTGGTTATATTTGATCCTTTACAAACATGCAGGGTCATTTGGAAGCATCTATTTATTCATTCTCTCAACTCATATCCTTTGCTTCTGGCCACTTCACTAAGCACAGGGAATAAAAGGGTGAATGATACACAGTCCTCTTTCCTAGAGGAGCTCATGGTCCAGCAGACAGAGGGAAGATAGACTGGTCTCTCCCCACTCACTGCATGTCCACACCATTCTAGCTCACAGAGAAAGACTGAGGAACAGGCAGTTTGTCCTTCCCTTGGTGCAGGAGCTCTGTGTTGAGAAGTGCATTCCTGGCGCGAAGAGATAGGACAAGCTGAGGAGGCGACTGACCCTTTGATAGTTTTGTTCTTTGACTATTTGCTCAATTTGCTCAATTAGATGTTCAAGCTTGAAAGCAACTTCATTAACTTTGTCCTTTGCTTGAGCAATGGCTGCATCAAGGTCATGTTCTCCAATTCGGATATCTAAGTGGATCCGCTGTACAAACAGTAAAAAGGAAGAAACAGCATGTTTTTGAAACAGCTCCACTCTTTTTTCTTACTTTCTCTTACTGTGTCCTACCATCCCCCCCCCTCCTCTCCCCCTTCTCCCCTTTTCCTGAGTGGGGCACCACTTCATTCCTGACCTTTTATTCCTTGCTGCCACTCTATTCCTATTCTACCTAGTAGTCTTACTTGTAATAATATCTCATTGAGTGGTAACCTACTGATCTGAAAGTATATTTATACCTTCCTGAACATCAAACTTACTATTAGGTAATACGTTTGGTGCTGAGAATATTTGGTTAATGCTATCAGGAAAATTTTCTTTACATATAACTAAATCTCTTATGCTAAGGTATAAATTCTCTTTGCCTGTTCTCAACACCTTTAGAAAATAGCCAGTCTCCATCTACCGTGTAAGAGTTTTACTTATTAGAATTCTATTATTAATTCACCCTTCAGCCTTCAGTTGTTTTCAAGCCTGAATAATCACAGTTCTTTTAACCTTCCCTCACAGCTCTTATTTTTCAAACCCTTTAATCAACTTTGTGGCTCTCCTTTGAACCCCTTCCAAGCTCTCCAGCTCCCTCTTTGGTTGCTGCACTGAGATCTGGGCACAAGACTTTAATAAGTTTCTAGGCAGTCTGCGTGTAATGGTTCTGCATACCAATGTTATGCTTGAATAGTGCTGACACTGTTCACCGAGGAGGACATGGGAGGCATATACTTACCAGCTTCCTCCCTCCAAATGACAGAGACCTTGTAGAATTAGATCGTAAGCAAATGATGTGTTCACCAGGTGAATATGAAGTAAAATAGAATGTTCCTTGCGGGCCATATAACTTTGACAATAATACCTAGGATTGAGAATTTCCACAGTTTAAGTTTATTATTCTATACTTTTCATTCTTAAAAATAATCTCTCTTATATAATCAGTAAAAAATTGTGTACTTCCTAAAGAATAAATCAATTGGCAAATAAACATGGAAAAATATTCATCTTTACTAGTAATAAAAAAAGTCAAACCACTGTAAGACATCCTTGTTCATTGTCAGATAGGCAAAGATTTAAAAGTACCCAGGGATAGCATGGAGGAATAAACACTCTCCAAATACTGTTGGTGGGAATGTGAATTGAACAACCATTTTGGTGAGCAGTTTAGTAGTATATATTGAAAATTAAAATCTATATGATCACTGACTTGGAAATTTTACCTATATAGACTTATTCTATGAAAACACATGAGTAGACAAAGTCATATACAAGAGGATACTCAG